GGTGCAACTTTTTTCTTTACTTCAATAGGGGTGAAAAGTTTATCTAATAGAGATGTAACTTACAAAGGTATCTTTGAATATCAACAACACATCTTCTATTTATGCACTTTAGAAATCAATGAAGTTATTGTTGGCAAAGCTTTGCTTGCTTATACAAGTGGTAAAACTTATATATATAATTATATATATGTGTGTGTGTGTAATCATACTGGATATGAAAGGCATTAAATTTCTTGTTTTTGCTTGTTAATAGTTCGCTTTCATAATCACATGAATCTTTTCAAGCGTCTCCTAAACAGTACAAAATGTTCTTTTAAGAGCCCAGCTCATAGCAATGGATGGTAGACTAGCAGACACCTCAAAAAGAAAGTTTGTATCCATGAGAAAACCTGTTACTGTTGACACCTCTTTGCCAGAAAACATAATTCAATATGCGGGGATTAATGAAATTATTTGATTACAGTTTATATTTTTAAGCAGAAATAAAAAGTATCAAAAAATTATTCGCGAAAATAATAATATAAAGAATGTTTTCGATTAGCTAATAACATCCATTGAAAATGTCAAATCAGAAGAGTAGTTTTAAATCCGTTTATGATCATCAATAATAGTATGCATATTTTCAACTTAAAATATTTATCTCGTTAAAATAAATATCAAATTTTTATATTTTCTTCTAAACCAATAGCTATAATAACATGTGGTGAGTTTGCTATATGGTTTATATATTATGTATTATATTATTATCATTGTTTCGGATAGATGCGTGAGAATTAATGGTTAGATATCTCTCGAGTATACAAGTGTTTTGGTATGGAATCAGTAAATACAGTACCTGGACAAAAGTATCAGAACACTTGCTTTTGTTGATTGCGCAAAAATATACATAATAAGCATATATGAAATTTATATCATTTGCGGTTTAGGTTCTTGTGAATATCTATGGAAAATCCCATGTATCTAGGTTCCGTAGAACTCGAATAAACATAAAAATGAAATTTGATTAAAATTTTCTTTGACGATCACTAAATCTCTGATGCGAAATTTTTTATTTTATTCTCACATTCTATGTAATAATTTTTTATTTTAAATTTTT